TGCATTTTCCTCTATTGAAAATTAATTGTTTAATATTTTTGTTTTATTTTTATTTTTCATCTTTATTTTTCATTTTTATTTTTTATTTTTATTTTTTTATTTTTTAAATATTTTTTTATTTTATTTTTATATTTATATTTTTACTATTATTTTTTTAATTTCCAATATTTTAATTTTTATTTGTACATTTTAAAGATTTGTTTTTTTACTTTTTTATTTTGCTCTAGTATTACATCGACCGTTTTCTGCTCTACACAGATGTATTTGTTCGCTTAAGTTAAGGTACATGCAGTAGCCAAGGAAAGAGCTTGAAGGGATGAGTAGCTGTAGATGATGATCTTTTTGTGATAATACCACTAAATGTGCAATTGTATGTAAATTACTACTCTAAGTGGCCACCATATGGAAGTAAAGGTTTGGGAACAAATTCTAGAGAGAAAATTTTACGTTGGGGTAGATTTGTAACCAGTATGAAAGGATGGCTGCAATATGACATATAAGCAGATAATGAGGAAAGGAGACAAAGAGAGTTAGCAGCCAAGAACGGTTATTATTAATTATGACAAAATGTGGAGAAGCATGAAAGAATTCGCACCAGCTCTCTGAGAAAATAAGGAGAGTGTGCACATGGAAATTAGAACTTAAGAATGGTTTTCTTCGATAAACAATCGTTGTTAAATCAGTGATATTAAAATTTAAGAAAGTATAGCGAATGTATGAAGACGTACGATGAAAATGTTATCTATTAAAATTATAAAGTAGAATTGATATATATTTGGGAAGTATTTATAAGCTGCAGTAATTGAGAAGAAAGTAAATAAGAAGAGAAATAGACGTTTTAAGGAGGCAAGAAGGATTGACAAATATAGTAGGAGGCGTGTCAGATTAATTGTTACAAATTCTAGGGCTTGAAAAGGCTTAAAAATATTTATGTTTTCCCAATGAACATGTGTAACTAAATTTAATTTGACGTTACTCGTTTGAGATTGTAATGAATAGTAAGAAACACATCATGTGTTCATCATTGACATGTTCTTACGCAGTAAGATATTTCGTAAACCCGGCAAACACCAAAGCATGATGGGTTGGATATCAAAAAGGGGAAAATATTACATGTAAAAATTCTTGAATCATGAAATTTTCCATAACAAGTCACAATTTTCGACTTCTTTATCTCCTCTAGAAATTTGTAACATTCATTCTGACACACTACTATATTTGCCAACCGTTCTTACCTCCTTAACGATTTGATTTCTCTCTTAACTTACTCTTAATTCTTTCCTCAATCCTCAATCACTGCAGATTGTTTATACCTCCCTGAATTCATGCGATCTGTAATTTATTACTCAATCGCTGCCAGTGTTGAGGGTGGGTGAGTGCTGAGGGTGGTTAAGTGTTGAGGGTGAGTGAGTGAGTCTTGAGGGTGGGTGAGTGAGTCTTGAGGGTGGGTGAGTGAGTCTTGAGGGTGGGTGAGCATTAAGCACGGATGAGGCTTGAGAGTAAGACAGCATTGAGCGCTGTGAGCATTCCATTTGTGTCTGCGCAGGTGGCGAGCATCGTGGTGAAGCGGCGCGGCCCCAAGACGGCGCCCGCCGCGCTGCCCGCCCCCGTCGCCGTGGCCTCCGCCCCCGTCACCTTCGTCGACGACGCTCCTGCCCCCGCGCCGGGCAAGGACCAGGGCCAGGGCCCCGCCTCCGACTCGCTTGTCAAGGACCACGAGGAGCTCCCGAACAAGGTAAACAGTTAATACTACGTGAATGGCTTTAAAGATTCGCCAAATATATAGAACGTGACTTCTTGACTGTCCGGGTGACGCCGCATCGGTGGCTGACAGGCCGACGTTTCTCCTTCATATCGTGGGATTTCTCAGGGTAGTGAAAAACTCCCTACTCGTCACTACCCTAAGGAAGCCTGCGAGGTGAGAGGAAATATCGGCCTCTCAGCCAAGGACGCGGCGTCACTCGGACAGCCAAGATGTCATGAACGCGAGCCGCGGTACAAATATACGTGTACGTTACGTGTAAAAATATAGAACCTCATTTCAAATAATTTATTATACAGTATGATGCAAAAATGTTACAAACTTCGCAGGTATGTAAGGGAATCGATGATCAATATTTCACCATGCTCTTGTGTGCATATATGTATTTGGCATTTGGAGGTCGGATTAATCCGACTTATTTCGGATATTCCCAGACCAGGGACCTGTTTGTTTTCATTTGTTATCCACGCTTTTGAGTAAGGGAGACGTGTAGTGAGCATGGCATATTCCCAAAATCTAACCTAACGTATTTGGTCTTTCTGAGTTTTCATTCGTCACACAGCTATAGAAACTGAAATTTTTATTAGAAAGCTACAGCTTCATTTTTACCTCGACCGGGGATAGAACCTGGGACCGCACTTCGTAAGCTAGCACTATGTGTTTGAGCCACCCGAGGGGCTCCAATAATGATGTGGAAGATTTTATCAAAGCAAGTTAGTTATACGAGGCATTTGCTCCTGATTGGGAGGCAACACACTATGCACGCGTGTTTGGCGGGTAAATGAAATCTCCTCGATTGCGTCAGAAAGCGACCGCCCGAATATATGACTTCGTCAGAAGTAACATAAAGTTTTGGGAAAATGAAACAAGTGTGACTTTGTCGCTTGAAACATTGCACTACATATTCATTAGATAATAAAGATAATTTTCATACTCTCGATCAAAATGTTTGTAACATTTTTCTTAGCCATCTGTGTATAGAAAATTCATTACAGGGCCGATATCTAATAACTGCAAGTGTGCCGCAAGGTTTTAAATTACTATCTTAATTCATTATTTGTATATCCTGCATAAAATTATATTGTTATATGAATAAATAATATCCTGATCCACCATTTGGGTGGCCAACATTCCTATCTTCACTCTCATCCTCAACAAATTAAGATCGATATCCCGGACCGCTATCTCCTTAAGTCTACTTATCCACTCCCTAATCACTGCGGTCAGAAATCACATCCGGCTCTTCTACACACACACTCATACACATACACCAAGCGCCCCCTCCCTCCAACACAAATAATAACTCGACCCAGCAGCCTGAGTGGGCTCGCCACGAACCCGACACGACCCGACACGACCCGACACGACCCGACGCGACCCTATACAACCTGATGCGTCTCGATATCACAAGACACGACACATTCCGACCTAACACACCTCGATCGAACACGAAACGACTAGATCCGACACAATCCCGTCCAACACGATCCCGCCCTTACCAACCCAAGTACATCCAGGCTGAGTGGATGACACCCCGACGCGACCACCACTCGTCAATACGGGTCGATCCAACAAGACTGCACCAGACCCAAACTGATCCGACCCAATTCCACACGACCAGATCCACGACGATTCAATCCAACACCACCAAACCTCGCCCAACACGCACATCCCGATGTTGCTTCCGGAATTCTTTCGCAACCAACCCTACACGACTGGAATTGACAGGA